ACGATAACGGCGAATATGAAACATAGATCAACCTGTGGCCAATATAAAGCAGCCGTATCGATGTCCAAAAACTTTTTAAAAAAAATGAATTAAAAGAAAAGAGAAGACATCCATTCTCGAAAAAAGGGGCATGACAAAAAAAATACGAATGACTCCGCGTGAACATTTTCTTTACTATGAAATTTATTTTCGGCTCACCTAGTGCTTTCGCTATTTCTACCCATGACAAACCATGGGAGCGCATCACTTCCAACTGCTCCTTCGTAATTATTTAGGATGGTCTGCTAACCCATTCTGTTGAGGTCACAGGTGCCCGGTAACACAACCGCTCCCTAAGAAAAGGAACATGGCAGCTGTACTGCTCGACAACCTTACCAATCCTAATTTCTATGGTCGACAGACTTTTAACTAATAGGGCCAAAATGTCCTCAGCACAGGGTTTCGTGGTTATAAGATGCCATTGGATTTTTTCTGAAATTCATTACAGCGGCTTCCAACTTAGTCCAAAGGCCAGTCAGTCTTTCTGGAGTTGAAGTAGTGTCCTCAATGGCAGACCGGGTTGTAAAATAAAGCTCTTGAACGTCCAGCACAAAGCGTTCTATCGCGTCCAGATTGAGACTAACAACTGTAAAAGAAGCATGTCATTAAATAGGGCAGCCTTGAGCGAGGGTCTCAATGGGGTAACCGTTAGCCGTAAAACGGCCACAAAATCATTGAAGAATTTTAACCGTTCATCGTGTAAAAAAAGTTGACCGAACACAAAAAAAATTCTGGGACAGCAATGGAGAGAAATAAACCTTTAGCCGTATATTGGCAAAAATTTTAACCGTTAGCCAAAAAATCCAACACCCTTTTGAGACTTTCTTGACCGTTTCGGTAGTCCGGGACCAAGAAGGGGAGACGAGATATATTCTTATTCTAAAACACGAAATTTGCGTAGCAAACGATCATTGATATAGCTGAAAGAGCAGTACTTAATAAGGAACACTGCTTTATCAGTTTATATCGCATCTACAGTCCAGTGATAGCCTTTTTTGGAAAAACTGACACGTAATTTCATTTTGAAAGGATTTGCGAAAGCACTGATAAATCATCAGCGAACACGAAGAGCCTGATTTTCCGGCTTAAGGTTAACACTAGCAACTTCATTTGCCCGAAACTAACAACTGCGGCTAATTCATAGGCAGCCTACCCGGATAGCCTACTCGGTTTTAAGCTTGTGCGCATCTGCCCGTCTACGATTAATAAAGATGACGTTGCGCTTCTTTTTCTCCCTTCAGAAAGAAGCTCGGGTTGCATGAAGTTGGCGGGCCGCTCAATACATTTTGTCCTTTGTTTTCTCGATCAAAATAATTTGCACCCCTGTAGATCGCAGAAGAAGCAGTGGAATACGAATACTTTTCACATAATGACCACAATGGCGTTTGAGTAAGTTTTCTTGTAAAGAAGCCTGATAAACTAGTGAGCAGTCAAGCATGCAATGTAAATTACCTACCTGATGCGGGTTGAAGGATGCCAATTACAAGACACCAGGAAAGAAATCTATACCAGGAAAACTTGTTCACATGCATCGTAGCGTTGAAAGAAAGGTTTTCCTTCCACGAGACGGGCATTTATAGTTCCCATTAATTTTTCGACAATTTATCGCCAATTGTACTTCGAGTTTTCTATAATCTTAACAGCAAACAGGGACCTTGTGAATGATTTATAGCACACGTCCCGCGGTGAAATTAAATTAAAACAAAAGGCTTTTCTCTGTTGTGCCTCACCTCTTTGTAAGAAATTAACTGTAAGGGACATAACGATTTCCTGGAGTTACAAACTCGTAACTCTCACTTGAAGTACGGAAGCAAATTATATTCATAAAATCCATTCATCGAATAGGAAATGACTGACGTGTAATTTTATAAAAAATCTCAAGAATGTTAACCAGCTCGTGCAAAGCCTTGGATCCTAAATTCACCGTATTATGAAAAAATAAAAATTAGAAATGTGACACCTCCAATAATCATCATTTCAGATATGACGTTGATGTTACATTTGATACCAGCATAGGGGCGTTACTTTAAGTGACACTACTTTTCAGATGAACAAGGGAAGTTCTTTTCGCTCCCTACAAAAGCTTCTTTCATCTGTGCAAACAAATCTTGAAATGTCTGGTGATCACAGCGTAGGAGCCGTCGGGCCAATTTTTGACCCCAATACACAAGTTGGTTCACAGGACTCACAAATTGCAGGCGGGCTACCGGGCGCGAAGCCCTACCGAACATTCGTTTGGGTGGACGACATTGCGCAAGTAAGTCAAAACCCAACTCTTGCCCCAGATGGCAAAAAGGTCAAGTTCGACCAGAGGCTTTGCGGAGACGCCATGGTGGCGCACCTAAAACGGGAAATTCCCGAAATCACGGCGACCAGGTGAGTAAGACAGTTTTCCACGAATATGGTCTACATTCTTTCAGCACCGCACCAGCTCAGACCGTAAAATGGCGAGCGTGAAAATGGTGACTAAATTCTAGTTTCACCCACTTTTCTATGCAAAATATTTTTTATTCACTGAATCGGCTGGTTGTTCTGGACCGATGTTTCTGGAGCAGCACTAATCGGGCGTTTTTATGTTGTGAATTCCACAGGGATTCCACCGCAAATCAACGAAAAAAAATAATTTATTCAAACCGTGCGTTCGGTCAAAACAACCGCGTACGATCAAGACAATAATATACAATGATATTTTCACATCTTTAGGGCACAAAAAGTTCAAAGTTCGGCCAAACAGTTCAAGGAATTGTTGAGTTTGTAGTGCTTTTTACAGTGTTTTCGTTGTTAGAACTGTTTTTCAGCTGCTGCATTGTTGGCGAAAGAAAACCTACTTGAAACGCCGGCCATTGTTTCGCTCGCAAATTTTCAGCGTATCCAAATGTTGCGACATCCGAGGCTCGCATTTGATTGGCTATCTGCGAGTTTCTTTGATTATTGACCAATCAGAATGTCTGGTTTGTTACTTCTTTGCACTGAATTAACCCTGAAAACTGCATTTATCTTAACCAATCCGAACTGAGTAACTTTTTCATGTACATTATTAGGAACAGTAATGAGCCACGATCTTGAAGTTGGGGCAAAATAGAGGAACTAAAAAATTCCCCCATAATCAAGTTGTATGGATCGAAGAAAGTGGTTAATAAAAATAAATTTTCTCTCTCTCTCTCTCTCTCCCCCTCTCTCTCTCTCTCTCTCCCCCTCTCTCTCCCTCTCTCTCCCACCCTCTCCCTCCCTCCCCCTCTCTCTCCCTCTCTCTCCCCCCCTCTCTCCCCCCTCTCTCTCCCCCCTCTCTCTCTCCCCTCTCTCCCTCCCTCTCTCTCCCCCTTCTCTCTCCCCCTCTCTCTCTCCCTCTCTCTCCCCCCTCTCTCTCCCCCCTCTCTCTCTCCCCTCTTTCCCCTCCTCTCTCTCCCCCTTCTCTCTCCCCCTCTCTCTCTCCCCCTCTCTCTTAAGGTAAAGTAAGTTTATTTTTGTTTCTAATTAGACCACATAGACAATAGACCACAAAATAACTACGTGTGAGTTTATTTCAGACAAATGGGAATTTTTTTCCGTCTTGTAACTAACCTAATGCGTTATTTTCGTTCTATTTGAGCTTAAGGCTCTTTTTCTTCAACAAAAATGAAAAGTTACACAGTGTCCCACCTCAACTCACCCAGCCAAAAAAATAAATCTTGCATGCATTGCATGCCTATGATTTTATTGTTTGTTCAGTCCACTGTTTCTTC